TTATCCTCCAAGCTATTATGAGCATTTACAGAAGAATGTCTCTTTTCTGTGTCAGATGTTATGAAAGACAGTTCATACTTCAAATAATATGATTTATAAGTTGAGATTGTGAAGCTATATTTAATAAAGCTCAGAGAAGACACATGAGCCTCAAAAAGCTTTCTAATAAATATCTTTTGGAGTTGAGATGCTACCCTTGTTTTATATTACCTGTTTTGTATTCTTGTGTATGCTGGGGGTACTGATGGATGCCAGCAGAATTACCCACTACAGAAGGCTTACCTTCTTTCCTCTTCCTTTTCCCTCCACAAGAATTTAACTAATGACAGATTGCTTTCCCATATCTCATTACTTCTTTGTGCAGTCACCATGTATAACTAACAAGCTTTCCACTCTTCATGTTTGTTTCCCAAGTTGCCAAATTTTATCTTTGATGATGTAATTCCTCAAGGAAAGATTCATGTGCTTGGTTGTTATTCATTTTAGTTCAAGGAATTGTTGGGACATTTACCACTATATTAATTTTATTATATATCTTGAAGATTTGGATGATTATCATTTGAAAATGAGCAGTTCTGGTCAGAGACTGTCCCAAAAATTCATGAAAAGTTTGTCATGAGTGGAATTTCCTCCAAATATTCTTTTCAATATGGATTTGGGCTTTGACATTTTGAATTAAAAGAAATAATATTTCATTTCAATTCATCCAAAAGCAAAAATAATAATTTTGAAGACACTGAAGTTCTTACAGAAAACAATGCTTTGAAAAAAATGCAAGTAATTTGATAATAAAATTCCCTAATTTTATCATCATATGTATCCCTTCCAGACAAAAGAACAGCAGATCTGATCAAGGCTACCTACCTAAGTCTTGCTTTTTACAACTGGGGATTAGGGGAGGGAGGTTTCAAGGGGAAGGGACAATGATATCAAAATAAGTACCTAATTTCCCTTTCAAATCAGTGGAGAAATGTAGGTTTTTCTGAAGACTTTTGAAGTGTCATCCAGACTGGTCCAGCTGGCTAACTACTTTTCATTGAGATTGCGAGGGGCAAATAAAATAGATTCATTTCTATCAAAAAAGCTGTTGCCACTATCATCATTTTGCATAGCAGACAAGTAGTCGGTTCATCTAGAAAGCAGGAGACATGAATCTAGTGTCCCTTTAGTGTGGGCAGCCAGATCTCCAATTTTTCACAGACTAAAAGACTGTTTAACTACAAGCCCACAAAGTTTTTGTGCAAACACACTTTATTATGGTTCTCCATCCCAAATCTGTTTTCAGTTTTAATATAATGACAATCTAATGTAAAAGGCACCATTTTGGAAAAGTTGTTCACCACTACTCCTCTTAGTCTGAGTCCTGCCAATATCGAATTTCTGACTTTCTCTAGGAGGGTTAGTGGTTTTTTTAGTTGCGAACAGAGTGTCAGTGCCTGTCTACTGATGTGGGGGCTGCAGCAGAGCTTTTGATAGAAGATTGGTACTTACATTCTCAGAATATTTACTTCTGAATATCCTCAGGAAATCAAAGTTGGATACCCTGGCTAAGTAGGGAAATACCAATTAAATTTAGTAGGCTGATGAGATTTATGAGTTTTAGTGACAAAAACCTTACCTTAGGCAGGATTTCTGAAAACTGTTATGCCCCCTTAAAGAGTGAGATAGAGCCTAGAAAGACAGACTAGTCCAAAACAGCGTGGTCAAAAGAAACTCAGCATTTACATGAGCTTTAGCTGTGTTATTTCCCATACACCATGACATAACTACTCCTCATTAAATTAATATTCCAGTTTGTTAAATAAGATAAAGTTAGTAGGTCCTGTTACGGCCCATTTGTATATTTACAATGCGATTAACAAAATGAACAGAAAAAAGTCTAACTCCAAAAAATGAAACATAAATGTAGCTGCCATTACTGTAGAAGAAATGCAGCTTCAAATGTTTCCTTCCATTAGTATGCCAGGAATTGACTCATAAGATGAAAAATCATGGATTCCTGCTAATCATCTGATGTAAGTTATAGCTACAATGTAAATATATTTGATGCAAATTATTATTGCATCTAAACTTCAAGTAAAAGTGCATTAAACAAGCTGCTAATTCACCAACAATCAATGAAAACACTTATTTTAAGAGATTACTGCTGGGAACACAGAAAATATGTTTAAGAAATATTCTATTTGTACTTGCAATGTTCCTTTTTTTCATAGTAGTAAATGGACAAATAAAACATAGTTTCAATTATTAAATAAATAAAATATAATTAGTATGTTCAAGAGCTTCATATGGCTTAGTGTTAATAGAACAGATGTGATTGTTATTCATGGGTCACTTGTGATTTCTGTGGTTTATCCCTGTTGTAGTTCAATAACAGAAGTCATTATTTGAAGGCAATGTGTCTTCACACATTTCAACATCTTGAAATTCAGGCAAAAGTTGAGACAGAGTTGAAGTCTGGAACATGCTACTGCAGTGTGCAAGTGGTGACACTCCAGAAATATATCAGAAGCTATTTTAAAGTCATTTAGGATTCTGCAAGGCTAATTATAGAAACATATTATGGTCCTGATACAAAGAATGAGTAGGATCTCCTACTCTTACTTAGCCACTGTGGTTATCATAGTAGATAAAACATGGTGGGGAGTATTTCTAAGCACTCAGGCCAGCTGGCAGGGAGCAGCTCATGCCTCTGCTAGGAAGTCCTTGCAGCTGAAAGACACCAGCCACACCACATAGATCCATGGGACACTGTGACTCTGGAACTACCTCGGGAGCTGTTTGGGAGGGGGCTGGCTCACATGAGACAGGAGCACACCAAGCGCCAGTCCAGCTGCATCAGGCAGCACCTGGCAATGTTTCTGGATGCTGTTTCACTTCCTATAGCTTAGCTGTACCTTCACACATTCATGTTTTGGCCCTAAGGAGAACCAAAGTATATCATCCACATAGGCATTTCAGGCTGTGAAGCACTCAGATGCTAAAGCAGCAGTGGCCAAATGGTTGCACAAACAAATTGCATAGCTTTGCAGGACTATCCCTAAATGTGAGCACTGATTTTAGATCTGGATGTAAGTCTTCAGATTATGCCATGTTCTTCTGTCTCATACCATAGACCTGAAACCTAGCCTTGGCGACACAGAGACAGGGCTGTTGGCTGCTGATCTAGGTCACAAGCTTTAATGCAAGTGATAAATTTCAGGCCCCATCCATGGGAGGTGACCTGTCATTTATTAAATGATCTGATGGGAGGGCAGGCCCCCTCTGTGCCTTCTTTTCAAAGAAAAATCTTGTCATTCTACCTAATAAGCATCCTAGATAGACTGGTCAACAATAGTCACTGGTAGAGACACTGAATATAGAACATTGGTAGTGCACTCTAGGGTACTAAATTTATCTTTCATTTTCTAAATTTCTCATATAAACATATAGTGTAACATTTGAGTCTTGAGATCTTGTGACAGTATCTCAGAAGTATGAGAAGAATAAATTAAAAATTTATGATAAAAATCATCATCACACCCAACAGATTTTAAGGTATTGCTTATTTCAAGCTTAATCTTTAACATGAAAATAGAAAACAAGAAAGGATATAATAAATATATATAGCTGCTTATAATTCAGAAATTGTAAACTAGCATACTTTTTGTTTCACAATAAATATTTGATCTTTAGTCATTCACCAGTGTTATGTTTACTGAAGTATCTTGCAGATCACATTAAACTATGACTGTTTCTGCACAATGCCTAGTTACACAGTGGTAATCTCTGCCACCTCTTGATAAAGAACAAAAGTTTGTGTGAGTTCAGAAGAGATTAGACAATTGCATGAAACAAAATTTCACAGGCTCTTAAGCACAGAGATACCACATTTTTGGTGAAGAAGGGTACAGGCTTCTGGAACCTTGGAAAATATACTGGGAAAATGTATTACAGTCACAATGTTTACATATTTTTCTTTAAGCCTCAAACAGGATGTTAGGTTAGCTCAAATATGAATACTCATGTCAAGTGTAGAGCACTTGAGACATATATATGTGATTAGGTCCTTTTTGAATGAATTTGGGGATCAAATGCTTTGCTGGTATAAGTGAGTGCAATTATACTAACGCTGTGTTCTCTCAAGCCAGAACATAACTTAGCTTTTAGTTTATGAAAGGTGCTAAGCTGACAATAAGAAATTTTTCACCTGTATGGGTGAAGAGTGAGATAAAGGATGGGCAAAAGACTTTAGTCGTTGACCTCTAGTAAGACAGGTAAAACTCACAAAACAGGTCTGTTTGCACTGTGACCATTTTCAGTCAGTCAAGCTATCCACAAACAAAAAAATTTTCATATTATAGTGGTCTATGTCTTCTTTTTTTAAATTATATAGGTCATTTTTAGAGAAAGGAGGCAAAGTCTGCATCCTATTACTACTATCACTACATAAAAGCCGGCACATATTTTAAGTTGATGATGTAGTTGAAGCTAGTCATTACCTGACCAACATTTTCTTACACTCATATGTGACCAAGGTATTCAGTGGCTAGCACAGGGAAGATAAGAGAAATTCCTTGTGACAAAAAGATGCTTTTCTGTTGTTCTATGCCAGCCATTTTTTAAGAGTAATTGAGTTTTTAATTTACTCTGAATCAGCTGAAAAAAAGAATATTTGAATGGTTCAGTTAGATATTCTACAGATGCTTAGTCCAGGTATTGTCAAAAAGAAATTATGAAGCTGGACAGAACAACACATTTCTACACACTGCTTCAATAATCTGGAGAGAAACCAAACCAGAAATGATAAGGTGAATGTGATGTTTAAATATACCAGTGCAAAAAGGCACCTTTAAAATACTAATGAAAAGTAAAACCCTCTTCAAAATCTTAATACCTTAAAAAAGAGTTCACCAAAAATTTCTCATACTTTTCAGCTTTAGACCCTTTCATAGTTTGAATTGATTCAGCAGTAAGGAGAAAACCAGAGATCCCCGGTAGAACTTTAAAGCTTTGCTTACCATAGATTGACTAGGAAGGGATGCTCCAGGCCTTGCATTATCTGTAGCTCACGAAAAACATTTCGAACTTCATCTCTCTCAATGCACTTCTGTTTATTCATATATTTCATGGCATACATTTTCTTGGTGTCTCTCTTCTGTACAATACACACCTAATTGACAACAAAGTGAAAGAGAAAGATTAACACCTACAGAAAGGAAACTCAGTTGTGATTTTGAAAAAAAGGAGCATTTTATGATATTTCAATAATCCAGATCTGGATACTACAATCTAGGAATGCCTTCAGAAAGTTCACATCACAGCTATGCAGGATTCCTTGTAATAGATGGTAAATGATACATTAAGAAAAGAACAACCCCCACCTGCATAAGATGAAATGGGGACCCAGAAAAGTGGGTTCAGAAGTTACACAGTAAGGCTAGGAATACACTCCAATTGTTTGAATCACAGGCTATTTCATCAGTCACAGAAATTACTGCCTCCTGTGTAAAAAAATGCACAACCATTGTCCTCATTCCCGCAAGTCGCTATACACATCTTGATTACTGCAACATAAACATAGCCTACATTCAGAAGGCTCAATATTTCATCTAAATATTAGAATTATGATCCCTTAATTATTGTTGAAAAGAAAAAGAATGCTCATATAGAGATTCATCATAATATTTTTGAAGTCACAAGAGACCATCACAATGATTTAGTCTCTGGCAGTAAATTTCTTTGTTTTCATTTTTTTTGACAAAAGTCAAATAATTTTGCTAATGCAGAAAGAAAATCCTGCAATGGGAGTTCAAGAGAATTCCTATGTAAGGCCTAGATTGTTTACCTTTTGAATGAAGCTGTAGAGTGTCACCAGCACTACATCCAAGAACCATCATTTTAAATATGATTTCTGGCAACACAGAAATATAAGATTGTTCTGTGTCTCATTCCCAAAGCTGATGTAAATATCATGTTTGTAACAGTCCTACGTACCCACTCAGAGCAAAGCTATATTCTCAACAGATTTTTGCTCTGAAGGGTTTTTCCTGCTAACTGATCAAGACTTTTTAAAATTACACTCCTAGTGTGTCTTCACAGCCGAGAGAATATTAGCTGAAAATAATATTTTAGTGCAACATTTATATTACTGATACAGCCATAGGCTCCAATCAGAATTTTTCATCATCAGGACTTATACAGACTATGTACTGGAAGTGGCTAATTTAGACATCACAACTCTGTAGTGTCTAAATTCAAGGGTATTCTGAATTCACTTAGTGTTGACACTATTTATATGTACATTTTCATACATACACACATGCATACATATAGACTCACATATTACACACATATAAAATTATAGTATACATACATTAAATTAGTGTTCAGAGATCAGATTGTATCATGGTGCAAACCAAAAATAAATCCTTTTGTTTTTTGAGTTGTATTTTAAGGAACTTTTGTGCTCAAAATTCAGAAATGGTCCAGAGATACTAAGACAACTTCCCACAGCTGAAACCTCTGACTTTAACAAAGTGTCATCTGGATTCTGGACCTGGTGGTGAACCACAGGCACCAGGGTGAGGACCTTAGAGAGACCTACTGTGTGGTAACTTGTTTCTTAAATGCAGAAGAATCATCACCATATTTTACTTCCCCTACCCTTTTTCAGTCCCTCCAAGAAGAACAAGACAGTGAAACCAAACCACATTTATTTCTCTGCAATTTTATCTCCATTAAATGTGTCCTTGAGATCAAATCTACTCCAAAGAGAGTAGTTAATAGTGTACTTTTAACCTATTATGATAAGGTATGATTAAGCAGAATTTCTAATTACCTTTCCTAATATCAGGAGATATTCTGTTAATTAAGTAAAACATAGATGGTAAAGTTTTGTCTTGAGCCCTTCAATGTTGCACAATGGTGAGTACCAAAATTTTGTTTAATTTTCCTCCTTGGGCTGTTATGGAATGTCTGAATGTTGATGCCCTTAAGATAACTAAAGGTTTGCACTTATATGGAAAGAACCCAGGCTGTGGAACAATGGGGAATTGTGGTTGGCCTTTTGAGGGAAGAAGTAGCAGGTGGGGTTTAACTGAAATGGTGGGATGGAAATGAATTGTTCAAGCTTCCACAGGTTGTTCAAAAGTATAAGCAAAATTGACAGGGGCAATTCCTGGCATACTGTCTGAGACTATGTGGACACTCTAATGTAGTGAATCACATTATAAAGTACATTTATGGATTTTGGCTTGGAACCTAAGTCCAGAAGTTCATTCGCTTACATGAATTTACAGTATGATTTTCATATGACACTTGGCCAAGACTGAGGTGTTTGCAGATGTCTCCCATTACATAAAAAGCATCCCTGTAAAACTGTTGACTAGTGAGACTGCTGAGAGAATGGGGTTTTACTCAGCAGAGAGTTGCAGGTTTGACTAATGTGGCAAACTAGGAACATATACAGCACCTAAATATGCAGTGTAAACAGGTTTTGAAACACCACTGTGACTCCAGAAGGGACTTACTTCCCTTATTTTCCATTAAAGACAAGAGTATTCATCACAGTTGAAACAAACCTTCTGTTGTTAGTAGAAGCTTGCCTAGCATACAGCTTTAAAGCAGAATGATGGTAAACATTTTCTAGTAATGAATACCTACACGCATCTTTTAACATGGCTTCAAAATCAATAGGATTTTAGTGAATAAACTATAGCTATCTCCTACTAAAAATCAGGAAACACAAGCTGCACCCACATTAATGCTATTGTGAAAAATGTCTGACAGCTACAACAGCACTGAGTTGTGGTGGAGATCCTCCCTGGCATTTCTACCTGGTGGCTGTCAGCTCTTCTGAGTAGGACATCAATGGGCTGAAACTTTTCCACTACTGCAGGAAAGAAAGGAAAAGCCCTCAAGCTCTCCTCAAATAAGCAATCTTAATGGGAAAGGTTTAAATTGTTTCTTGTTTGTTTGTTTATGGTTTAAATTCTTTCCAAAAGCATCATTCTAAAATAGGGAAAAACAGGTGCTCTGGAACCTCAACAAACAAATTCTGTGATAACTCATTATTGTAGAGGTCTGCAGAATTGCCTTATTTACACAAATCCATATGGAAGCCTGTCACACTCACATTACTAAAACATCCTTCTTCAATTTTTCTGTGAATATCATTTACCAAAGTCCAGACACTCAAACTGATATCACTGCTTCAGCAGTCTCCATAGATGATGCTTCAAACCAAATATAAGTGTCATGAACTCAATAGCTATCCAGGCTCATAGTCAGCAGGGAGTGACAGGCACATCCATCTCTACCTAAAGTATGGGTCTAAATAGGTTCAAGCGACCATCTCTAGAGTAATGGCTTCTCTTCTAAAGTCCCCCTAAAGAGACTGTAGATGACTAGATTGGATGTAAGCAGCTGTGTTGTACATGTTTAAAGGTAGGCAATATGAATATTAATTTTCTTTGGAGTTATATGGTGCTTATTTTTAAAAGTCTCTTGTGAAAATATTCTCTTTCTAAAGATGTTTTTTTTAATATGTCTTCGCTGTTATTACAGGGTTGTATCTTTTTTATATCTGGAAGAAGGCAACAATGAATTGCCTTCAAAACTATTAGATTAAAGGAAATTTGACCAGAGTGTGACTTGGAGACCCTTTCCCTCAGATCCAGGGGAAGAAAACTGCAGGGCTAGACTTCATTTTTCAGGAGCAGCATATACTATGGTCCACTTCTAAGCTACCTTCTTGGATTTCCTCTGATATCACATACGAAAAATAGAGTACCTACAGATTGAGTCTGATCTGCAGACTGAGGTCACACAGCCACTGAGACTGCTATGGGCTATTGAAGAGCTAAGTGAAGCGATAGAGTTATGCTGAGCAAAACTGGGGCAGAATTTGTTCATGGGTTGCTGCAGAAATCTGCATAGTGCTGTGTTGGCTGAGCAGCCATATGTAGCTCCAGAGAAGCTCTTCTCAGAGCAAAAGATGGAGATGGATGAAAAATTTGACTTGCTGCAAAACACAGATTTCTCCTGTTTTCCACTAACTTCAAAAGACTTCTAGCTCCCATGTGCTTGGTCTGGAAAGAACAGCAGGGAGTGGGCACACTTAGTCTCAATAAAGTCATTTTGGTCTGAATTTGGTACATGAATGCTTAGAATTTTCAAACTACCACATGATATAGTTTCATGACAGATCATGAAGAAGGAGAGATGCAAAACCGCAGTCAGAGAAAGTTCGTCTGTGCAAGGTCAGTGTCACGTGGAGAGCTGGCAGCTGGAGTACACACTTCATCCATGCTCCTGTATCATAACATTATGCATCTTAGGTCAGTAGATTGGATGGGGAAGCTATAGCTGCCGTAAGTAATCACAGCCCAGCAGAGGGGCTGTGGCACCGCATGGGCAGAAGGCACTCATCTAGACTTATAGGACCACAAGACACAAATCAGCTATATGTATCACACTCAGTGTGGGAACTGACAAATCTGCTATGAAGCATGTGCCTGAAATACTGCTACCTTGTCTATTCTTACTTACATGCTCTGAAAAAACTAATGCTCATAGTCTCATGTTACAAGTAGAGTTGGAAAGATTTACACAAAGAGGCTGGAGAATAGAAGTCATAAGTTTGGCTTTACACTGACAGGGAATTTCCTTGAAATAAGGCATTTCATTCCCAGATTCCCCTGAGCAAACCATAACAGCTGGAGCAGGGACCAAGCATCTGCTTAGTATCATTTCATATTAACTCAAGCAAAAAAAATAGGTGGTTATCCTGTCAAAAAATATTAATATCTTGAAGTTGCGTGTTATGTTGTTTTTAGGATAGCAGCATGTTTTTTCTGAAATACTTTGCATATTATTTAGTAAAGTACCCTCAGTCAGTGCAGACATGATTCTGGGCTCCCATCTGTTTTACACTGGTGTAATTTCAATTACTTCAGCAGAGGAAGTCACTGTTTTATACAACCATATTAATCTGAATTAAGTCCTGTGTCTCATCATCTTAGACAAATAGGAGAAAGAGTTTGTACATTGAAATCATAATTTGAATTTAATTTAAGGAGGTCAGATTATTCTATAATATACCTGCTCCCATGAACAGAGGACTTGAAAATTGGTACTATAATATCCCTGAAAACTAGTTGTTGCACCTGAATATAAACTATTTTGTGGCAGTAAACCTGTAATGATATGGTTACTGTTGCAGTAAAGAACGACAGTTCTTGTATGTCACTCCTAGTCAGTTTTGTACTTACTGGGTGATCTTCAAATATATAAATTTTTGCAATATTTTGTTTGATAAGAATGATGGCTCTACATATAACAAAATGGAAAAATTTATCCAGATTAAACATGAGAGAGCACTTTTAGGGTACCACATGGCATAAAGAAACAGCTACTTAGACCAGTGTTCAGCATTTTTGGTTTGAATATTTTAAATTGTCTACTTCTGAATTGACTTAGAAGGCAAACATTTACTATAAGAATAAGAACTTTTGGGACAAAATTTCTGACTTGGTCCACTTCAAATGTATTTTGAAATACTAATAGCTGGAACATGTCAAGCATAAATAGACTAAAGGACTTCTGGAAAAATAAATATGTTACATATGAGGATGTCAAAGCATAAGTGAAGAGCTACCTTCATCTACTGAGCAAAGCAAGGTCACCGAAGCCAGCAAGACTACTTTTGGAGCAATGCCACAGACCTTGATTGGGTACCACTGTCAACCTTGCAGCAGCTCACAGGTGTGTACCAGCATCTGTATGTACAGATATGTACACCAGGCATGTATACATGTACCCAGGAGTGGGAGCAAGTATTCAGTGAGTGGTCACATAGCATTCTGCCATAGCTTGCATGCCATTTGGCTTGAACAAAGAACCACTGACTTACACAGAAGATGTGGCTGTGATGGTCCTACACAGGCTCAGAGCTTACCTTCTTCATCTGTCCCTTACCAGCGTGCAAGCTGAGCTCTCAGAAGATGCCTCTGAAGTAAGCCTGGTTGTTTCCAGAAACAAGAGCATGCTCCTTGTTTCTCTGCTCTTTACATCCATTTCCTACCCTCTTCACAACTGCTGTGATGTATCTTCACTTTTTTTTTCCGGGGAAGATGATGCTACAGTGCGTACAAGCCTGCACCTGCTCTTAACATGTCCCTAAGAAACAGCGTGTGCTGAGGCAGTGGCTTACGGCAGGTGGCCACTTCTCAGAAAAGACAAGCTCTCGAGATACAAAGCATTTGATACCGAATGGCCCGGGATCACCTGTAACAGCAAATGTTGCTACTATGAATTGAAAATGCCAAAGGAAAAGGCAGGGAGCTGTTTCCTGAAGCCAGCTGGGAGGGATAGAGCGAAGCTGCTGAAGCAGCCGGCCCCGATGGAGGAGGTGAGGTGCTGAGGATCACCTCCAGCTCTGTGCCCAGGAGCGAGCTGAGCTGTGTGGAGTCTCTGCCATATCAGGTACCTCCTGCAGCAATATCCTGCAGCGGCCTAAGGTTGCTGTAGCAACCAGAGTAATTTAAGAAATATTGAGAGACACAGAGAGAGAGATTGTACCAACAGCAATAAAACAAAAAAACAGAGAATGTCTTAAAACACCATGCTGCTCTCAGAAAACAGAAAAGGCCACAGAGCAGCCATAAAGGAAGAACGCAGTTTAAGGAAGGCATGATACTGAACACGGTGTTATGTGTTGCAGGATGTTAGAGCACAATAGACCCCAAACAGTAAACAGCAAGTCAATAGAGATTAGAGGTCTTGCATCATTTGTTGACATTTTCTGCTGCCAGGTACTTCCAGAAGGACAGTAATAGGAAAAGTTGCCAGCAAAGAGGCTTCTAAATGAATGATAAAGGCAAGACTGACTCACAGAGAAAGGCTCTTGAAACAGTGACTGATTTAACATGTTGTGCTTTTGGCCATGGTATAATAGGTCATTTTAAAATGGATTTCTTTCTTTCTTTCTTTCTTTCTTTCTTTCCCCATCTGTGGAAAGGTAATTCGTCAGGAGCTTGCATTCATATGGGAAAAATAAGCTTGTTATGCCAAGGACTCTTCTGTTGTATTTGAGAGCTGTGAAATAAGTATTTAAGTTTAGAGGAGACTTATGCATGAGTCCTTTCTTGCATTAAACTTTGTCTCCGGCTTCTGAAACTCTATTCTCACCCATACATATCCCCCAAGCAGGTTCACAAGAACATTGCAACCATATGAACCTGCAAGAAAATTAGATGTTTCTAGAAATATCATAGAAACATTCACCAGTTTCCTGAATGCCATGGAGGAGAGTGGATCAAAGATTGACAATCAAGCCTTCAAAAAGCACTTAGGCTTGTTTTATTTTCCTGCATGGTGTGGAAGGGTGAGAGACCCTTTGAAAGGGCAGAGACAGTAAAGGTGTGAATAGGGAAGTTTTGAAGAAAGAGGGGTGCAGGTGATCTTTGTGAGCACCAGCGTGATTTAGATGTATCTTTAACTCCTTATCCTGTGCCTAACTTGTACTCTTGGACCTCTAGTTTGATATGATTTTCTATCACTGTATTGTGATAATAAACTACCACAGATTTCCAGCTGCCCTGATTTTTAATCTTGAATACCATTTTGTACTAGCAACATATTCTCCTATTGACTTCAATAAGGGTTTCTCTTGGAAACTACTGAACCGACTAAGGACCACACCATTCTGTGAGAAGTGTTTCTGGTCTCTGTAAAATGAAAGTCATTTTTCTGCATGGAAGGCCAAGAGCCAGCAAAATCCTGGTGTGTTCTTAATGCATAGCTACAGAAGTAGCTCACTGGCATTCAGCTGGCATATACTCAAGAATCATTGACATCAAGATCTAGATACCTATTTCTTGATCTGTTACTGAAGTTATATTTAACCTTCAAATGTATTCCTGCGAGTAATGGTTTCTAATATTTTTATAACATGATTTTCTCTGACTGCATGGCCTTCTATTTGCCCATATTAAAATTTAAAACCTTGTTATAGTCTTTATTATAGGAAAGAAAGGTCATCTACTCATGTGTAAACAAACCATTAATCTTCTCTGTTTCAGCAAAAGCCTGTTGAATTGAACAAACATTTACTCAATGATTGTAATTACAGTGTATGTCACTTTATACAGTCCCAAGTGTATTGAATATATGTAAAATGCCTTTAAAATACTGCAATTATTTTAAAGACATGAATAAGCCCAGAGATTTAAGAACAAGATAACTCTAGTGGACTGTCTAAAAAAGTGGTCTGCTCCTACTTCTTTCTTTGGTTTTGTCTTGGGGAATGATTTATAAATTCTGCTAATCCCTCCCGAGGAGACTGATTTACTATAATAATTTTTACTCAATTAATTTTAGTGAATGTATTGTAATAGAAATAATTTAATGAATAATCAGAGACATTTCATACTGATGATCAGATGTCTTTAAGAAGTAGAAGGCTATAAAACCTACATTCCTTTACCCTAGTCAGGTGACACCAGAAATACGCAAAGAAGTTCTCTGTTAGAATTTTAACTGCTAAAAATAAATCGATTCTTACCTTTCCAAAACTCCCTTTCCCAATAGCACGCAATATTTGAAAGTGGTCAAAGTTAACTGCAAAATAAAGGAGAGAAGAAAAAGAAAATAGTTTGTAGAGTGCTAAGTCAGAATTCAGATAAGAAAAGAAGTTATAATGTTTCTAACTGATGTCATTTTTTCATGTGGTATTTACTCTTTCTCTTAAAACAGCAAACATACTTAATAGCTAGCAAAGAGGAAGTTTGTTTTAAAATATGCTCCATTTATTTTATTCCTCAATTCATCTTGGCCCAATGTTCCCAGCGCCCAGTATCTCCAAAAAGAAACATATCTCTGTCCTAACCAAGTAACAAGACATCAGTTAGCATTACACAATCATTAGCAGAACCTGCTCAGCATTTTCCAGAAAGATTAAGATCTAATAAAAGGGTACTGAATAATTCAGGTAAGGAACACCATAAAATACACAGTAATATAAGGATAGTATTGATAAGTAATCACTGTGCAGAATAATTCCCATATTCTGTTACAGTGATGGAAGTTTGTCCCATGATGAGCTAGCAGGATCAGCCCCTCCAGACTTTACCACCTTAATACAATACATAATACTAATATAGTAAGACTATTCCATAGACGTAACAGAAGTTTCTTTTAGGAGCTTTCATTTTAGCCTGGCAGTAGAATAGATTTACTCCCACTTCATGAAAATCTGACAGCACAGTCTGCCCTAGACACTGAAGTGGTTTGCTGTGAGGTGAGTGAGAGATTTCATTTCTCAGAAATGCCATTATTGCTGGTGTTGCATGAGACTGATCACAGCATGACCTTCAAATCCCTGGTTTATTGGTAGGTCTAGTGGTTTAAAAAAAATCCAACAACATCATGAACAAAATTGATACAGAGCCACTGAAACACAGCCATGACAATGTGTGATACAGTTTTTACAGTCACTTGTCAGAAAAGAATCATACTTAAAGCTAAACTCAGTGAACCACGGTTGACAAAGTTCAGTGTGACTTAACAGGATTTTTTTAAATTAAAACTTTCTTATGTTCCTGGCTTTGGTCATGTACCTCTATCTATGCACCCGTTATTGCTGTAACAGGATTCAGCAAAGTTGTGGAGACAGACTGTCACTGGAAAAATGTGGTAACATGAATAAATACAACAAAAAATGTGACTTGCATAATTATGAAGAAGAAACTCCTATAAAACTAATAATACTTTAAATGTTTGTTGAATCCATTGTATCAGCTCAAGCTAAGCATTGAGTAGGAAGTTGCAAGGTTGATATATCAAGTCACTGAAAAGGGCTAAAATCTTATTTCCCTCTTGCAGTAATATCTCATTTATGTTATTAACACCACTTATAATATATTTAAGCATTTGTTTATTTATGCTTGCTTACTTTGTCTTCAAGGAAATATGGTTGCCTCTTTCATTAGTGCAGCCATAGCAACCACCTTCCTGGTAATTGCTGGAGACCAAATCAAACCCAGAGCTGACAGAGCTGAAAGCAGTAGACTCTATTCTTTAGCAAACAAAGATGGTAATTGTGACTATAGCAGTTTTAGGATTCAGATACTAAAATGAAAATGCATAACCTTGCAAAGGATTTATAAGCTGCTTGGAAACTGGAAAACAATTTTGTGCTGAATCATGTAGGGTGCTAGGGTTACCCATATGTTTAAGAAGCAAGATTGTCTGTCAGTGACCTGCAGCTGGGGTCTCTGTTGACAGTCTTTACCAGTAGGGCACTATCTTGTAGTTCCTGCTGGTCAGTACTGGTCTGACGGACAAGATAGTCAGTTTAGCAGAACCACGCTCTACATTGGCTTACAGCAACTTAAATCTTGTTCCCACAAGTTATCCCTTGCAAGCGCATGCCCCTGAATGGAGGATTTGAGAGCTTAATGACTGTGATCTTTAAGTTGATGCTTAATTTAGGTAGGAATGTAACACAGAATTTAAAAGGTTCAAAACAATATGTTAATCTCATTCATTTCTTCTATAGGGAAAATTCAGCAGTTTTTCCCTCCAGCATGCTAGTGCTGTCTCTGTCACTCTTCTGCTTTCAAACCTTCTGATACTTCCTCTTTATTTTAACAGTTTTTAACAAACACATTCCTTAAAGAAAGCTTAGTTTGAGTTTTTTCTTTACTTTGCAGTCATTCAGCAGAGGCCAGTTCACCAAAACAAAGGGAAAACTGTTGAAACAGTCTGTAACTACCTAAATTTCAGTCAAGCCACATCTCAGTAAGACTTGACTATATTATTGTCCTGAAGCCTGGCAGGTTTTGAAATGCATCAGTTTGATGAATTATTTTGTTTTTGCAAAAGTAAGATTAAGCATTTACTTTTAGATACGAGAAGGACATTTTTTTATTGCCCATATAATTTCTATTCTATTTCTCTGTACTTCCTTCTTTAGCAGTGTTTATTGCTCTGAATGACTACATTAATTTATTTTTTTAATTGGATTTAACTGTAAATTGAACTTCCATAAAGAAGAAATTATTAAATGAGGCACTAGACCATGGAATTTAAGATGGATTGTTAGTAAGTTGAATAAGTGGTTAAAAAACATAGCCATGGCATTTGATCAAATTTTCTCAATTTCTATGTGTAACATAAATAGAAAGTGGGATGTTACACTTTCAGATCATCATTAAGATAAAAAGAGTATTTTCTTTCCGTAGTTCACTGTCCCATAAGCCCTATTTAAACCAAGGTACAAGGACTGTAACATGTTTTGTGCAAGAGAAAAAAAGTTAATTTTAAGTGACTGTGAAACTATGTAAACACACCTGAGCCTGTATTTGAAATGAGTTGGGCTCGCAGCCACTGTGGATTTCCAGAAAGGTCTAATTCACTAAAGTGACACAACTTGGACCCTTTTGATCATTCAAACATACTCACAAGACTGTAGATTCAAAAACTGGGGAAGTTCCTCCCTTGGGATGTGAGGAAAGAATAAATAAAAATGGATATCTTTGCAGTTGACACTAGTACCATATTCAGCTGAGTGAAACTAAGATTCTTTAAGCAACAGTCCCATCAGCAATAGACCAGCCATGCAGAAGACACATTAACATCCCCTGATGTTAATCACCCTGATAAACAGTGAATGGTCAAGCGAAGTTCACTGCCACCTTATTACCACATTAGTAATTTTCCTCAGGTGTTTTTAATCTCACACTCTCAACACTTTTGGATAATTTTGTTCATCACACTTTTTTTTTTTTAGATTCTGTATGTGCTTTTTCTCCTTTTTGGTGAAAATTTAACACCAATTGGTCACCACTTATTCTGAGAAGAGTTACAGCTCACCATGACCCCTGGCATTTCCAATGTTTAAAATATCATCAAGGTCAGCTGCTGCCATTTCATCTGTGCAAAGAGAATATCACAAGTATTGTATTCTTGTCCTCTAAAACATGAGATGTATAACTCTTCTGGAGCTTCGTGTAGCTAATGACATTTTTCTAGCACAAAGCCCTGCTGAGATAATGGTGTGGCTGGCAGAAGGACACTTTCTCCAGTAACAGTAATATGACTACTACTGTTTTGAAAATGGCTTTCTTGGTATCTTTTACTCAAGAGGAAAAAAAAAATATTTTCCAACTTTCTGAGCACTTCTTTCATTTTACTACCACATTATACTTTGGAGATCTTAGATATCAGCTCTGAATTTGAGTCTTAAGAGTATGGACATTTTTCAGAAATCCAAATTAGTTGATATTGTCCTCAGCTAATTTTTCATACAGGCAAATCCATAGAATGAAACTATGAACATTAACTACAGTATGAGGGAATTTCCTTTCAGTTTCACTGATTTTAATAAATTTGGAAAAATCAAGAAGTATTATAATGTCCCCTCCCATATCTCCCACCTTCATCCCTAAAAAAGTCACCCCGTATGTTCAAAAAACATTTATTTGGCACACTAAGGGAGAAAATAGATCAGCATTTATGACATCTGTTATATAATATGGTATTAGAGTGATGGATGCCTGTTAATTTCAACAATGAGCTATATATGTGTATAAATTAAAGCATTTTGTTTCTTTCCATTTAGTCATGCTCAAATAAACCTTAAATGAATTCCATTGCAGAGCTTCAAGTCTCTATTAATAACTTTAAGTGCAAGTATACCTTACTTTGATTATTTTCATCGTTTTGAATTAGCCTCATGTAAAACACTTTCCAGTAGTTTGACCTTGAACTAATAAAAGCTTGGATTATGGTAATGGGATTCACAAGCTGAATGGAAGGTTGTACCCTGATTGCCAGGAAAAATAAAAAAAAAATGTGGTCCTAGCCATTACAGATATTTGAGCAAATTTATTAGTATATTCAAAAACCATCAGGAATATTTAGAAGGATGGTGTAGTGGTCCATGACCAACTTGTACACAAGAGCCTCTCTACAGCCACAGCCTTCTCATGTGACAAGTGCTTCAATATCTTCTGCCCCTGTCGGTAGAAACATGAATCATTACACCTCTAAGCATCTGTAAAAATAGGCATAGGAAGTAGTTTAAAGCTCAAATACACGAGTAATCAGGAGGGTAACGACAGCCAGTTCAGGCAATAATGATTATAAAAACACCATAAAGATTGAAAGCCATTTTCAAAGTGTGAAAAGTGTGCAGCACTGTGGAAGTAGAGGTACAGAAATCAGTAGATGATTGACCCAAATCCCACACATCAAGTTGCTGCAGAGCTGAGAACAGAACCTGGCTCCCACTTCAAACCACCCCATTTCTCAGGTACATCTTTCCAATTGCATGAGCACTGATGGAACAGACATTTGATATAAAACTTTCTAGGGAAAGATAAAAGAAATATTTCTTGCTCCACTGCTCCCTGAGGATAAGGGATAATTTGGGGAAAATATGCACATCACAGACTATCGGGTTTTTACAACCATACTGTGAAAACACTGGATAGTTTTAGTGGAAATGACTGGATAATGGTAGAGGAAATGCCTATTACTTTTCTTTTAATCAGCATTATATACATAATGCTATATAGTAAAACAATGAAGTCTTTTATATGCATACACTTCTACTG